AGGTATACTGTCACAGGGTAGAAGGAAAACACAATGATGCTATTTTCCTCTTATATAAATTGAAATTTGTCATGATAAAAAGATTTTGATTAAATAAGGCCTTACTTGAAGGGATCAATTTGAACATCTCCAATTGCCTATGTTAGAATGCTACACACATCCTAGGATATTTACCACAGCTAAAACAGCAAGACTCCCTTCTATTCTTAATTCTATTTATATGTATGCATGAAAAAAATAGTTTATGACATCTAAAATGATAGTGTCTCTGTTGGAATCCACTAAAGTTCTTTCAACAAGGTTTTACTAAATGCGAACATTGTGTTTCTGAAAAATCACATTTTAAAAAGGTCTGAATTTTATAGTATTGGGATTATTTAAAAATTTACCTTTGAGGTATGTATGTATGTATGTATGTATGTATGTATTTTTTTGCTAAGGATTGAATCAAGGGGCCTCAAACATGGATTCCACCACTAAACTATACTCCTAGCCCTATCTTCTTTTGCAGCATAATAAATGACTGGATTTTCTGTTACCCCACTGGTTAACTTTAGTGAATATTAGAATCACCTCTATGCTTTGTGTGACCAGAGATCACTATGCCTACTCCCAGAGTTTCATGTTCCTAGATCTGGAGTAGAGCCTGAAATTTTTGCATTTCTTACAAGTTCCTAGGTAATGCTAATGCKTCTCATCTGGGGAAGATGTTTTGAGAATCACCAGTTCCAATAATCTAGGACTGATAATATAATATCTATTCTGCATTGGATATGGGGACAATATTCCAGGTAATACTTCTGTTTTGGCACTACTTTAATTTCTTTCTTATTATAAAACCAGGGTAGAGRGGGCCCAAGAAAAAAAGTAGGGTTTATTGTTTAATAACCAAGGATTTTCTACTTAATTCTTTATAACTCAATCTTTTCCAATATGGGCAATCTCAAGTCCAGTAAAATATAAGCAGAAAACATTAAAAACAAGACCCAAAACTGAAAGTTACTGGAAAATAACATAGCACATATATCCACTACAAACACAAACATACACCATCATCTATCAGATGTGTTCACAAATATTGGCAAGTTTCCATGGAAGGGTCAACATATAGATGTCTACTTATCATCAAAATTTGAATTACAATCTTGGGGCATTTTTAAGAACTGATAGTTCTAAATTGTTTTTATTTCTGTGAAATGAGTTTGCTTTATTTTTATTTATTTCTAGACCAGAAAAAACACATAATTTTAAATTTTGTTCCTTAGGTAAGAAAAGATTATATCATGCCAAAAATAGAGTGATGCTTTTAAAAAAAATGTAAGAAAATGACCTGGTTTTAATGGAATTTTGAATGTTGAGATTTTCCCAAATTCCACCAAGTTGCCATTTTGTGCCACGAAATACAAATGCTAAGAAAAACMAATTAAGAGGGTTGTTTTTGTTTGTTTGGTCATATGCCTCCTACAAAATTTTTTCTCTAAGTACATTTGTCAGAAAATATTCTGTCCATTGAATGCTTACTATGTGTCAGGTATTCTGCTAAATATTGTTTCATTTCATCTTTTGTTACCACAATGGTTGATATAATCTTCAGTTTACAAATGAAGAAACTAAGGCTGAAAATATTAAATTACTCAAAATGAAACTAGTCAGCAGTAGATTCAGTATTCAAATATGGACTTGTATGACAATGATCAATTACACCACAAGACCTCTTAGTTCATATTGATTCCTATTGGTTAATAATAGGTTCTATTTAYTTTTCATGAAGTGTTTAGCACTGTGCTAAATACTTTATACACATTATTTCATTCAGTTCTCTCAATCTTATTTTTTCTTTGCAGTACTGGGGATTCAAACCAATATACCAGTGAGCTACCTCACCAGCCCTTTGTATTTCGTATTTTGAGACAGAGTCTTGCTATGCCAAGGCTTACCTCTAACTTGTGATCCTCCTGCCTCAGCCTCCTAAGTAGCTGGGATTACATTCACGTCACAAATTTCAAGGAACTTGCTTAAAGATCACACAGAATGGGAGAGCCAGGATTGAACACTGATCTGATTCCACTTATTATCTCCTAGTCTCCTTTTAGGTATTTCTGTATTTTTAACTTGCAAGTTACAGAATTAGATTCATACTCTGGCTGTTATTTGCTGAGAATATTATCTCTGATCTTCAAATATTTAATATTAACTTTATGATTATTACTTTGGCATCCTATACTGGTTCATAGGAAGACTTCATCTAAACATTCCAGTGTTCCACATTATTGCTATCCATTTCCATAATATTCTGCTAAATTTAAACCTGAAAACTAAAATTGAAACCTCAAACAATACTCAGAACTCTAAGTTATATTAGCTAGATGCTGAGCTTTACATCATCTACTGTTTGAAGAAACTTTAGCATCTGTCATTGCTAATGAAATCACTATTTATATTAATCATCTAATTACTGAATAGAAACTTGAAACTCTACACCATAGATTTCCTTCAAGGTCATTATGAATAATTAACAAAGAGCAGAGTTAAACAACTTGTACAAATAAACAAAAAATTCTAAGTCTATTCCTTTCTCTCTGTTGAGAAGCCACTAGTCATATGTAGACTAATAGTCCTCTCCATATATACATATATTTATAGCAATAACTATAACTTTTGGTCTCCAGTAAGTATCTAGTTTATTTTACTAGGATTTTTAGTATAATCTCTGCTGGCTAGAGTACACAATTTGTAATATATCTTAGAAGAATTCTGGAAATTTAAATCCCTATATGTATCAAAAGATTTTTACTTAATCTCTTTTGCAAAAATTTGAATTTAGAGTTGTCCAATCCTTGACTAGTATTATATATAAAGTAATTTCAAATATAAGGAAATATCTTACAAATATACTTTAGATATTAGAGGTGTAACTCAGTGGTAGAGTGCTTGCCAAGCATGCATAACACTCTGGGTTCAATCCCCAACAGTGGGGGTAGAAAAAATACACACACACACACACACACACACACACACACACATACACTTGTTCTTTTACAAAAGGCATGCCAAAAAAACAAAACACTAGATATAAAAGCATTGCCTTAACTCTTCAGAATTTGAGACTCCTTATTAGACTATGCTATTAGTTGCTAGAATAGGTGATAGGGAAATTGAATCTTCCAAACTTGAAAATATTATGAGTTTTGTAAAAATTGTCTTTTAATACATAAAAGGTGATACAGTGTTCATGACATTTTCTTGCTGCTGTTCACTAAATATGAAAACTTGGATAACAAGAATTTGCTGATCAAATTATTAGGCTACAAAATTCTTAGGGTCAACAAATTAACCTTTCAAGAGATAATTAACAGAGTACTATTTTATAGAGTAAATAGAAAGTAGAGACTGAAATCCTAAATTGATTCAGATTTGGGGGTTTCAGGAGCCAAGCTTTATTATCACATCTTGGATCTAGTAGTAATAATCAGAGTATCAGTGAAGGGTAAAAAACAAACAAAAGGATCCTCCCAGAAAACATCTTTCCATGCCTGTCTCACCTGAGAAGACACAAATCAAACTATTATAAAGCTAATCAGCCCAGCTGCTCCAAGTTGTTTTTACCCATCTAATTATAAGCTCCAGCAGAAGTGATAATACATATAAACTCAAAGTCGAACACTGTTCTCCTAATGCCTCAAGTAGTTTATTGGTAGTTATTATCCACATTTCTGTAAATATAAACATTCTAAGTGACCATCACTAGAGTGCAGGTACATTTAACATGAAAGCTCCACAGGAGGCTACTTCATTTTGTGTAAAACAAAAATTAAGGTTTCAAAAATTCAATTATGCTGAAAAAAAAATAAAAACCAAAAACTAAAACAAATGCTGCTATCAAAGTGCATTTCTTTCGGTGATTTCAGAACAAACAGCTGTTGGCATTACACATAGGAAGTACGCTCATTTGCCAATATATGATTACTTGAACTAAGTCTTTCCTGAAGATAAGAATTAGACAAAGGTCTTTCCTCCTTATATATATATATATATATATATATATAAGAGTTTGGTGTTTTTTTGTTTTGTTTTTAACAGAAACAGCACCATTGAATTTTCATAAAACACTTTGCTACTTTCCTCTCATTTTCTATAATCATAATTCTTATCTGCAGTACTTTGCTATTCCTTACTATCATCAGGACTGTATATCTCAGGTAACACTGGTCAGTTGGTAAGCAAAAAAAAAAAGAAAGAAAGAAATTAAAGCTCAGAACATATATTGATATTTTACATATTCATTCCATTACACATCAGGTGTTGTTTATAAAGATTTTGCCCCTCCCAAGACACTACAAAAATATGTGAAAAACCACATCTGTTTTCAGCCAGCAAATATTAATAGAACAAATATCTTTTAACCAGAGTATTTTAGAGACCATGTATTATCTACATTCACTAATTGCTTTCTTCATAAATCCATATATCCAAGCAAATGCATTTAGGATTAGTCCACATTCCCATATTTACTTTACTATTAAAGTCAAGTAAATTATTCTAGGTTCTTTAAGTGAAAGTGCTTCTGACAACAACCTACTTCTATAATAGCCCCAAATCCCAAAAAAGTTGCTTTAAACCTGTATAGAAAGATGCATAGTTATTTCTAAGAAAGACTACACACCAAAACATGCTTCATCAAGAAAACTAATCCATGCACTTGAGTATACCTCAAACACCTTATTTTTTTATTAAAGTCAGACCAACTTAAACATTGTCTAGAATTAAGAGACAGCATTAAATTATTTGATTCCAGAAACATAAAAAAATCATTTAGCCAAAGTTTAAAAAGCAAACTCTTCCTCCCTGTCCCAGTGTGATCATATAACTGCATAAATATGTGTATATATTAATCTACTTTAAGTATCCATTCACTAGCATTTTATCTTTACAAAGCCTAGTATGCAATATCTTTGCAAAGGCTTCCCCTCAAAAGATATAAGCACAAAACACTAGGCAGACACTCTTCAGAGTTTTATTTTACTAACTTCAGGTCAAACTTCCACAACTATTTTCTGGTCAATTTACTATCCTTGCTTGGCTTCCCAAAATGGTAGTACCGATAGATTTATGGTGTAGGGAGAGGAAACCACTTTAAGAAGCACTGCATTTACTCATCTTCCAAAAGGCAAATAAATTGGGCATCTGATTGTTCAACAAAACAAAGCTTTAATTGCATCCAGGAAAGCAGACACGCAAACCAGGCTGTAGACACTCTTCCATTTGTCAAAATCAGACCAGAGAAAACCTATTCCACACAGATATAAAAGGTATTGTTATTCATCTTTTCTTTTTCTGTTGCCGCAACATTTTTCTTCTTTTAATTATCATATCGTGTAGTTTCTCAAGTCCTTCCTTTAGTCCATCTCCTATGATTGCACAGGTAGGCTGCAAATGCCAAGGTGTTGATGAGCTCAGTTCACCCATTGCTAACAATTTTTCAATTTCTGTGAGAGACAGTGAGTTCCTCAGGTCTTGTTTGTTAGCAACTATAAGTACAGGGACTCCTTGATTTTCTGATATCCTAGTTATTTTATGAAGTTCTGTTTTGGCTTCTTCCATTCTTTCAACATCAACAGAGTCCACAACAAACACAATGCCATCTGTGCATCTGGTATATGACTTCCACAGTGGCCTTAATTTCTCCTGACCACCTACATCCCAAAAGTGAAAAGTGACTGTTTTAGAATTTCCCAAGGTTACCTTAATTTTCTCAGTGTTAAATCCTTTGGTAGGTACAGTATTTACAAATTCATTGAACTGCAGCCTGTATAAAACAGTTGTCTTTCCAGCACAGTCCAAACCCAGTATAACAATGTGGAAGGACTGAAATGAAGGGAGGCTGGACAGGATAGAAGTCTGATCTGACAGTCCATTCCCCATTTCCAGTTGCAAATAAGTGTCCCAAATTGTAATGTTTTCTTCTTTCTGCTTTGGAATCTCTTTGGCGATGCAGCTACAAGACTGCTGGGGAGGAAATGAAGAAATTATTCCTGTGAAATAATACATTAAAACGGGTTTTCTCTATTTTAGGTAAAATAAGTAACACGAGGAACTTAATTAAACTTGTTTTAGTAAGCAAATCAGATGTGATATGAAACGTTCACAATCCAACGCAAATCATGGAATAATTAAGATTGGAATTCTGTGTTTCACTTAATTCTGTGGTAACATGTACTTTCCTTTACTCCCCCCGCCCTGTGCTCCCCAAATCTTAGACTTCATTCTGGAAGACAACTCAGTTACCACTATCTAGTCCAACTCGTCGTAACCATAAAAGTGCCCTTTTTGGTGTCAGAAACTCATAAAAGGTAATTTAGGGATCTAATCCCACATGATTCACAGGATACCCAAGATCAGTGTTACAAGCTCAACCCGCCCTCCGCCCCCCAAAATAAAAACCCCTCTCACCTCCGGAATCGGAGTCTGGGTCCAAACGAGAAACCATTGGCAGGCGTTTCTATGCGGGGGGAACGCACCCCACGTCCGTCYGGCTTAGATCTCCACGCAGCTCTAGCAGTTGCTGCACTAGAAACCTTGGACTCAGACAAGGACCACGCCCACTCCTCACGGCCCACCCATGATCCCAAATCCCATTGGTCACCCGTATCAGGACAGCCCTGCCACTCCCGCCCCCGAGCCCTAATTGGTTAGGGTAACCGTCGCTCCCCGTGAGGCAGAGCAGGGCTCTCTCCCGGTCCACCCGCACCACCTGTTGACCCTAAGTTAGAAAACWAGGCGCTCTAGGAGGAAGCCGAGCGGCCCCTGCAGGGGAGGGGGTGCCTCAGACTGTCAGGTCGCCGTCAGCCCTCTGGCTCCGCCCGCCCCGGCGCACCTGCAGCGCGGCCCACAGACGTTGCGCCACGGTCCTCACATCCGGGGCCCGCAGTCACCGCCGGCGCCTTAACTCTTTCTCGGCTGGCGGAGGGTGCTCGTTATGGTCGCGCCAACCCCTGTGGCACAAACGATATGACCTGCGGCCCCCGCAAGGGCAGGCCCTCCCTCCCTGCAGCGGCATCCCTTCACCTCACTCCTCGGCAACGGGCCAGCTCTTCCCCCGCTAGGGCGTGGCCACCCGGCCAATCACTCCGCTACAGCTCACCTGACTAACCGTCCTTCCCTCGTCCTAACTCTGTGTCTCAGCCGTTTGGGAAGTACGCTGACACCTGTCCCAGGGTGTCAGCAAAGCCTGGACGGTGGCAGGGGACCACACGCCGCTTCCAGAGGCGCCGGTGGGCGCCTCGCGAAAGGCCGCCCCAACGGTGCTCTGCCGGCTACTGCCCGCGCCAGCCGAGGCCCCGCCCCCTTCCCGCGCGACGCCCAGGCGCTGGCCGTTGGGGGGCGCGCGGGAGCCGGGTCTCCTAGCAACGCCGAAACAGGGTCACTTTTCGAACCGGCCATTAGCTGGCTGCCCGCAGGGTCGGGTGGGGCTTCCTGACTCGGCTAGCCAGAGCCCTCGCTCTCCCAGACATTGCTGTCGCCTCCAGCCAGCTTCAGACAGGCCCCGCCCTGTACCTTCTCTCCTCGTCTCACCCTAGGGCGGCGGCCGTGTGACGCAGCGTCAGAGATTCCAGAGGACACCAGACCCGCAGGCTCTTTATGTAACGGGCGGTGAGGCGGTACCCCGGTGGCTGCCCTCCGCGACCTGGTCTGCCTGGCGCACTTTCCTCTTCTAAAGCAAATAAGCATTCCCTCCTGCGTAGCTCTTGGCTGTATCCCTGTGGGTTAGAGACAGGTAAAAATCCCGTTTTGCGTTGAGGAATGCACTCTGGAATATTAACATGGATGTTTCTAATGACCCAAGAAAAATAAGCGGAGGTGCTGGAACTACTGATAACTTGTCTACTAGTCATTGAATGCGTAATGAGTTTCCATTGGATAGTTCTGACTGAATGTAATTGTGTCCTTGATCCATAAATTTGCAAATATTTATTGAACTAGACAGTAGGCACTATACTGTGTACTTGAGGATAGAATAGATTGCAAAATAGACACTGTCTTTGCTCTTGTGGAATATTGGAGAAAAAGAATGAACTAAATTGTCTCATGAATAAATTTAAGAAATGTGACCAGTAGTAATTTCAGAATGCTCGTGACAACAAAGAGGAGTACTAAACTCAAAGTCCTGGGAAAGCTGTGAACAAAATTTTTTTGGTGGAAGTCACAGGAGACTGTAATTTAAATGAATCTATATGGTGTACTTATTAAAAAATGTAATTTTAAAAATACAGATTTGAATTTCCCTAAAAAATTTCCTGGCTTTCTCAAGGTCATTATTGCCAGTAATATTTATCTCCTTTATGTCTTGTGTACTGGATTAATAGCGGAAATAAAACCTAAGGACTAAGCACAATGTACAGTTTGCAGACAGCAACACAATTTTGGAAATAACTAGAAATCTCGAATGGCACATTCTGTCAAGGTATTTATTGAATCCAGTATAAGCTAAGGATTGTCTCATTAGTTATAATTATAGAATCTCATTAGACATTTACAGTAATTAGCAAGAAGGTGATAAAAGGCTTAGTGCAATAACTAGCTTCTTTTTCTTGGGAATTGATCAGTGATATTTGATTAAACTAGAATTATTTGAAAATTCTCCTTAAATTAAGAATATACAGCAATAAAATTCCACAACACACCTGTTTACAATACCTTTGAAATCAATTAGGCCCTTTTAGTATTCCTTTCAAAAGTGTGTGTCTACAGTCTTTCCTGGAGTAAAAAAGGAAAAGATATGAAAACACAGAGCCTCCCACCTTGAAGAAGAATTGCATTTTAATGTACTTTAGGCTTTTAACCAGAACCATGATTGGCAAACTACAGCCTACTGGTTAAATTCAGAAAGATAAGGATAGTTTTTACAAGGTTCAAGGGCTGCAAGAGAAAAGAAAGACTAGAATATGCAAAACACTATCAGTGTCCCCACAAAGCTTAAAATATTTGCTTTCTGTCTCACTATAAAAAAATCGGTACACCTGTTCTATAAGCAATAATAACCACATGAAGACAGCAACAACTGATGTAAAAAGTGATGAGATTTGTGGAATATACCATCTACTTTGTTGCAGTCTTCCTACAGAAGGTTCATTCAAATATTTTATTTAGATGCTATGCCAGAAAAATATTCCCTTTAGGCTCTAGCTTAGAAGCTGCTACTGTGCCCCTGGGTGCCTCAGGGACTTTCTAGGGGTTCTGTGGGATAGTTTAATTTTTTGAGGGAAGCACAGTGACATCTGTTGAACCATATTAACAACTACAACTATTAAATTAGCATCCATCTATTTAATAAATGGAACTTTGGGGTGTTTCTTTTAGCCTGTGACACCATGAAAAAATTACTTAAACACTGTGAATCTCTGCTTCTAGCTACATTTTCCAAACTTGGCTAATAATGAAAATCACATGATATGCTTRTAAATATATAGGTTCCTGGGCTCCATTTCAGACCTCCCAAATCAGAATCTTCAGGAGGAGAGACAGTGATCTGCATTTCAAATACACTTTTTACACTTTTGAGCAAATACTAATCTCCAGAAATGGGTACATTTTCTCCTTTGAAGACTAAATAGTTTACATTGTTTCCATTTTTTAATTAAATGCAGAACCCAGATCAAAACACATGCTTGTAGTATTCATCCTCTCTTCCACAAACTGATATTCTGTGATATATTACTAAAAGTACACAGTARAACTAACATGTCTTTTCTAAACTTTGTCATTCCATAGTGAGTTTTTATTCCTTTTTGAGGATAACACACTTGTTTCAGTGCATATTTATTAGAATTTCTCAAGTTGGAAGGACCAGGTAATTAGAAGGCATAGTCATGGTTGAAGGCACTAGTCCAGTGGAGCTGCTAGAAACGCAGACACACAAGTACATAATTACCATGATATTCTACAAGAGTTATTATCAAGTCATATTTTTTAGAAACTTTACCTAACAGAAATAGGATGGCTTAACAGAGAAATGTCATATTTAAGGTGCATATTACAAGAACTCATCACCAGACAAGGGTGGGGCACAGAATTAAAGGTAGAAGCAAGAGTAGGCAAAGTTTGAGGCACAAAGTTATGAGATGTTCAAGCAAAAGAGGGGATTCTGATTTTCCCATGGGAAGAAAGGATATGCTAGAAAAGGAATGTTTTTCTGAGTCTCAAATGATGAAAGAAAAATGCATGCATTTTGTTTCTGAAACAGTGTAAATATCATTCAAAAAGTTTTATTGAGCTAGGCTCTATTTCCAACTGCCTTTTGAACCCTTTTGCCAAATACCCAACACATAAAATATGTGACTGACATCTGTATTAGTCTGGTTGCCATAACAAAATATGATAAAATTGGGTAGCTTACAAACAATAAATTTTTCTCTCTCAGTTTTGGAGACTGGGAAGTCCAAAATCAAGCATGGGCAGATTTCATGTCTTATAAGACCACAGTATAAAGTCAGGGTGAAAGTTTGACAAGACTCTAGGAAGAGGATACTAGAAGGTAAGTACAAGCCAAAATTTACTTAGGATGGTTCTAGRTAAAAATTCTCAGGATCCACAAGCTCAAACYCTCTCTGTATACTTCTTTAATGAGCAATTTCAAGGCTATCTCTATTTAGACAACACTTGCTTGCTGTGTCCTTACATAGTAGAGGGGTAAGAGTCTTTTGAGGGCTTCTTTTATAAGTGCACTAATCCAATCAGGAGGGCTCCACCCCATGACCTAATYAAGGCTCTGCCTACTACTATCACCTCTGGAATCAGACTTTCAACATAGACACTGCAACATTCAGTCCATTGTATAATTTCATAATTATCCTGTTAATCTCCTCTTTTCATCTCTGGTTTGGTTGATGGTAATTTGTTCAGTAATCCCAAGAAGGAATCTCAGAGCCATTTAGAAATTTCTCCTAAGTCCCACTTAAAATTACCCACCAATCTCCCTTAAGTTCATTTCTTTCTTTTCATTCCAATTTCTACTATACATTTGGTCCTCATGATTTCTCTCTTTAGTTAATTTTGTTCCTGAATGATTTTTCAGCTAATAAGTACCCAAGCAGGACTTTGTCCTTCTGTCTAGCTCTAGATTCTTTTCTCTTTATCCACTATACTCTAGGGAATAACCTTACTATGAACCAGCACAGTATAAAGTCAGGGTGAAAGTTTGACAAGACTCTAGAAAAAGGATACTAGAAGGGAAGTACAAGCCAAAATTCACTTAGGATGGTTCTAGATAAAAATTCTCAGGATCCACAGCTCAAACCATCTCTATATACTTCTTTAATGAGCAATTTCAAGGCTCTCTCTATTTAGCTCCAAGTCACAGAACAGTCTGTCCCATCTTACAGGAGAGCCTTTATATGCTTCTACACACCTGACAACATATCAAATTGCCAAAAGATTCAGTGATAGAAAAACATTATTCCATATCATACACAAAGTGTAATTTCTATGTCCTTATTTCCTGGCCTCAGACCTGCCTCTTGCTAGGAAAACAGAACATCCACGCCTGTGTATGTGTGTATGTGTGTGTGTGTGTGTGTGTGTGTGTGTATGTGTATGAGTGTGTATGAGAGAAAGAGAGAGACTGTATATTTAATGTCAGTAGAGGAGTTGACGTTGTGAGGCTGTTGACAAAGAATTAAAAAAGACAAAAGAATAAGCCAATGTAAGTCAGGTAGAATCTTTGCTTCTATTCTGTGAGTCATTAGGTACCCATGAGAAGCAGCATGCTTTATAAGAAACTTTGTTCTTGATGGCTGTTCAGAAAATACTCACTAAGGAAAAAAGTAACAAAATATTTTTGTCACATGTATTTCAATATCACTCAATATAATATTTTGGTTGTCTATGGAAAACAAAGTGTAAATGAGCTTCCCATCATGGTACAAAAGTTGTTAAGTGTAAGCCAATAAACCATTAATACAAAGAGTCTTGTATATCTTATTCATTTTAAATTTCTACTTGTTATTTATGTTTCTATTTGCATTAACCCATAATGTTTCACTGTCCTACATAAAGGACACATATAAAAACCTATAAAACTTTATAAGACATTTATATATAGGATGATGGGACATAATGTGTTGAGGAAATCTTTTGTCACATCTGAAAACCTCAGTCCTCACCATTTGTATAGCAGCTATTTTACCTCAGTGTTCAAGTTATTTGCCATGGGAAAAGCCTATTGGTTTTCACAGCTAAAATATAAGTGCTGGTTGATAAAATGACACACAGACAAAATACCATAATTTTTAARATAACATTTTAATGATAAGTGGATATAAAATGATTCATAAATAAACCTGTTTTCAACAAACTAGTAAAATTAAGACAACAATTAACTAATGTATAAAAATACAAAGGCTATAGCAGGAGTACATATAAAATGRATGAGTTTATTTTCAATCAGGAAGATTTACTACAGATCATGGAAAAGATACTAGTGAAGTTGGACCCTATAAAATGTTT